ACGCTGCAAAACCCTTGGATTGTCACAGATTAGGAACTACTGGGTTGGAAAAAATTACTTCCTACCCCAATGTGTCACCTCAATAATATGTCTTACCTTCCCTGTTCACAATAATTGCTGGGCTGCCCATCACTGTGCCTTGATCTTTATTTTTTTTTTTTAAGATTTTTTATTTATTTATTAGAGACAGAGAGAGAGGGGCAGACACAGGCAGAGGGAGAAGCAGGCTCCATGCAGGGAGCCCGACGTGGGACTCGATCCCGGGTCTCCAGGATCATGCCCTGGGCTGAAGGCGGCGCTAAACCGCTAAGCTACCAGGGCTGCCGTGTGCCTTGATCTTTAAGACCAACATGTATATAAGGGTACCATTTTTTTTATGCAATAGCTAGACTCTCAAAAGATCAGGGGCACAGAAGTGAAATAATATACATAAAACTCAAATAGTTTTAGTTGGGTTTTTTGTTTTTATTTTTTTGCTAAGAGTTGACAATAGGCAAAACGATCTACTCAAAGACAAAAAATAGGGATGCCTGGGTGGGTCAGTGGTTGAGCATTGGTCTTCGGCTCAGGTCATGATCCCAGGGTCCTGGGACTAAGTCCCACATTGGGCTCCCTGCAGGGAGCCTGCTTCTCCCTGTCTGGTCTCTGCCTTTCTGTGTGTGTCTCTCATGAATAAATAAAGAAATCTTAAAAAAAAAAAAAGACAAAAAATAAACCACAGCCGAGCCAAATGGTGTGATGATTACCTTCAAACCTGATGCAAAAAAAAGGGAGGACAAGGAAGTTATTCTTCCCTTCAACCCTTTCAGTTTGGAAGAGGAAAAAACATTAGATTTAACTTCCCTTAGAAGTGCAGCTCCACAAAAAATTGTTTATCAAATGACCATTAACTAGGGAGGATTGAGGGTTGACCATAGCACTAGCCCACCTCCCCGGTGCTAGCATGCTGCCCAGCAGCTCAGCAAAGTATGAATAGGAAAGGTTTCTTAGCTTGCTGGTCCCAGCTAGAGCATGACTATTCTTCAGGCCCCTTCTACTTTGTATCTTTGAATCTCTATGCCAACCACATTATGAAGCCTTTAGAAGTCTATTACCTATTAACAGAGACTAACATCCAGATATATAGCCACTGGAATCTAGCCCACACCCAAATGCCAGCCTCATAAGGTCAGTTTCCCAGATAAGAGGTGGTCTTGGTCTAGTCCAGTCTCTGTATTTTACAGAGAAGGAAACTGAGGCACATAATATTAATCAACTTGCCAGGTATTACCATATATACAGCTATTACAAATAATATTAATCAACCAGCCAGGTGTTCTCATACAGACAGCTAAATCTCCTTTTAGCAAGTATTCCTAGTCATATACTCTTGCTAATAATATACCACTATACCTCTTAAGCAGGAAATGCTAACTCAGAATTGAACTCTGAAGAGGGCACCAGGACAGGAACAAGTTTAGAGTGAACAGTTTCTACCTCTATTCAGTTTAGATAAGTACTTCTTTTGGGACTATAAACAAGGTAGCTAGACCCAGGCCTTCCCTAAGAACTGGAATCCAGTTCCATATTCTTCTAACAGAAGAACTTGCTCATTACTGGGCCTCTCTCGTGTCTTGACCAAACCTTGCCAAGATAGCTGAAATGGAAATAATTTCATGGAAGATGATAGGGAAAAAGTGGTAACTTTTACAGGGGTCTGTGGACCTTGGGACTAGCCTAAGAGATTTACTGATTAGGGAAGACAGGGCAAAAGCCAGTTAATACCTTCAACTCTCAATTTCATTTAGACCTCAAATTACTAAAATCTTGAACTGAGAGTTCTACAACTTGGTTCAGGTCTTTCATTATGTTGATCCAATATTAACTAATGAGTCACAGTCTTAAATGAGTGAGTCCTTCCACTTCTCCCCACTCTCTCCTTTATATTTCCCCAAGAGGTAAAAAGCATGCTTATCTCTTATCAGCATGGTAGTACAAACTTTTTATTATTGACCTAGAAAGTATTGGAATGCCCTTCCTCACTAACTACCCTCTCACCCCAGCAGAATTCATCACTGCTTCCCCTGGGGTCCCACAGTATTAAGATAGTACTTCTATCACAGCATTTATTACATTATATGTCTGTTCTGCTGAACTATGAACTTCTCAAAAAGTGTGACTATTTTTTATGTTATTTTGACTCTCCAGAGCACAACACAATGCCTGGTCCTTAGGAGGTATTCATTAAATGCTCCCTAAGTTAATTAAGGCTAAAGCAGTTCTGCTTCCCTCCATCTATTCTTCCCTTTTTGTGTCAACTGGATAGTTTATTTAGTTCCATTTGGGAATGTTTTTAATTGTCCCCAGAAAACCAACTCTCTCTCCTTGGCCTGTGATCTCCCTTGGATGGAGGGCCCCCTTGGGACCCAGCCCACAAAGTACTGTTGCAACTCACATGGGCTAACTGCTTTTCCTGTCACCCGTTACTATGCTCAGATGGCCTAATCACACCCAATATGCGGCCCTCCCACCCTAACACTGAAGTAACTGTAGCTTAAAACAAAGTTCCCTGAGTTTTCAGTTAATGTTAATTGCTCAAAAACTTTGGGTCATTATCTCTATTAATTCCTGAACTTGAAAAACACGAGTTAAAAAAACCCCAAACCATTAGAGCTAGAGGACATTCTGAAAAGGTAGCCACTGCCCCTAAACCACAGCCACAACCTGGCCCAGAAATCTGCATACACTTTGCTCACCTGGTTGGCTCCTTACTCAGCTCAGTTACTGTTCAATGACTAAATCTTTCCTAAAACACTCTTGGGAAGTGGGAGTGTATTGTGTAGGGTTTTAACGTATCCCTCCTAGAGGGCTGTTGCATTTCCTTATTTTAAGTTTATTGTCTAACATTTCAGTTACTTTCCAATCTGAAATGCTTTAGGATTAGGGAGCAGCCTATATACTTGCTTCTCCTGCCCTATGCTTCCTCAGAAGTCAAATTTGTATCAGTGCATACAAAACAAGCAAACCATAGAAAAGCAATCCTTGCTCTTGGGCAAACTAAGAGTTAGAAGGTATGACTTGTAATGAAGTGTGACTTGAAGAACAATGGGAAAGCTCTCTTCTCCAAATATAGTTTGTAACTCTAGCTCTGTGTTAGATTGTTTCTTGAAGGTAGACTCTAAGAGGAAGGTGGAGGGGCACCTGGGTGGCTCAGTAGGTTAAAAGTCTGACTCTTGATCTTAGCTCAGGTCTTGATCTCAAGGTTGTGAGTTCAAACTTTGCTGGGCATGGAGCCTACTTAAAAAAAAAAAAAAAAAAAAAGGAAGCTGGAAAAAACAAAACAAATGTATAGAAGAAAGAGACAGGTATACCACCAGGATGTAGAATATGGATGGCAAAGCCTACAGAGAGGTTGATAGTGCGCACACACACACAATTTTTTCTAGGGCTTATTTCGCAGAAGGAAAATAAAAACTCCTTGGGGTACATAATCCAAGTTTCTGAAGGCACTGTACAAAGGCTGGGCACACTAGAGGCTTCTAAGCCAGTAAGGACAAATTCAATTAATAAGGTGGTAGAATGAAATGTCTCAACTGTCCAGAGGTTTAGAGGAACACAATTTCAAATCCAGAGAAACTTGAGACCTTCTCACATCACTACAGACAGATACAGAGGCCTCATAGGAGAATCATCATCTTCTTTTAGGTTAATGAAAGGACAGTCATATAATCTGAACATGCAAGACCATGAATCAGAAGGTAGAGGTCTCAAATTCCTCACTTTAGCAGAGATGCCAGTAATTCTCCCAAACAAATAATTCATCTAATGTTTCTTTCCTGCCCATAAAAGAGAAAAAAGTATTGGCCATCTATTTGGGCATTTCGTAAGATGCCCAATGCGGGGGGGGGGGGGGGGGGGTAGGGGTGGTGGTGGTGGCAGCACTCTGTGTGGTTTTAAGAAGGTGCGGGAAAATCCAGAGTATACCTACCTCTCTGCTTGTCTGATTTTGACATAGGAAGACAAAATGTGCTGTGAAAGGACAACAATAAATAACAGAGTATCATTCCAGAAGGGAAAACTGGACAGAATGAGACTAGAGTTTGGTGGGAAGGTGAAAACAGAATTGCCTTTGGCGGCACATCCCTCAAAGAAAAGTGAGATTAGTCTGATCTGTTGTATCTCTGACCTTCCTGGATGAAATAAAATGAGTGAGGTATGTGTGGGAAGATATATACTTCTCACGCTTCTGCACAGCCTGAATATTTAAAAATATGTACACATTACTTTTATAATTAAGAAGAAATGTAGTTATAAAACACATTTGAATGAAAGGGAAAAAGAAGGAAGTATAGTAAGGGAAAATCCAATCAACTCTAATCTATGGGGGACTAAGGAGGTCAGCTGACCATTAAAAATATGCGGGGGGGGGGGGAGACCCCCGGGCCTTAGTAATCCATCTTCTTTTTCTCTACTTATCTCCTTCCTCAAATGCCTCACTGTTCAGGCATTTGACCCAACTTTCTAATAGCACAGAAACCTGGGCTCCTGAAGAAGTAGACAAAGAACAGGGGTGATGCCAACCTTCTGGAATGGAATTTCTCACTCTTCCTCAAATCTCTTCCTCAGTGATATCACCTCCTATTTCCAGCTTGGTTCCACCTAACCATTACCTGCCTGGGAAATACCCACGTCTAAGTCCCACAAAAGTTTCACCAAGTATGGTCAGAAGATCTCCTGGTTGCTGGGGATCTCTAAGCCCCTTTCAAGTGTGGAGAATAAAGTCCCTGATCCCCTCAGAGATGCAGCATCCACCAAAGACGAGAGTAAGTGAGAAAGAAAGAGGCACCCCCGCCCCATCCAGCTCCTGGGCTCTTCCTCAGGGCTGCACCCTCACCCAGCTGAGGCTGGTAACGAGACACGGACTCACCCCACAGCCGTTAGGGCCAAGGGAGCGTGGAGGGGCTGAGTTTGTAACGGCCAACAGCCGCACGCACAAAATCTTTAACTTTTGTTTTCCTTAGCTACCCCAGGAGCACCCTAAAACTTCGGGTCACCACATCTCAATCCTAGGAGGGACAAGGAGCCGGTCCCCCCAAGACCCAGATCCGCCGGCCCACCCCGAGCATTCCCAGGAGCTCCCGCAGGTGAGACCGGGCCCTGCCGCCACTTCTGCAACTCCCTCGTCTTCTAGGCTAGTGAGGCTTCCCTCTTTGGCCTCGCTTCTCCCTCAGCGCACCCAGATCCCCTCGGCTCAACTCGGGGGCACCCTAGTTCTTTTCATAACAACCCCTCTCCCTGAAGAGGATGCCCCTTCCCCGACTAGGAAGCCTGCTAAGGCCCTTCCCGGTAGACACTGCGGGAGCCCCGGCCCCGGCTCCCCTCGCCGCCCGGGCGCCGGCGCGAACCCCTCCTCACCTCCCGGCAAACGGGCTTACCTCCCCCGCGGCCCGGCCCTCTGCCCCGACTCCTCCCTCCTCGGCGCCGCTGCGTGCGGCCTGCCCTGCGCTCCCACAGCCCGGCCCCGGCCCGCCCGGCCGCCTCCTGGCCCCGCCAACGCCGGGCTCCCAGCTGGCCCGGCCCCCTCCTCAGCGCCCCCACTAGGCCTGCGGGCCCGGCCCCCTGCTCCCCTCTCCCGGGGCCGCTCTGACCCCTCGCTGAGGCCCGGCCCCGCGTCGGCTCGCAGGCCGGGGCGCTCTCCTCTCCCGAGCGTCTCCGCCCCTGCCCCGTGGGCGCCAGCAGCCCGGTACCTGGGGCTCCGTCTCCCCCGCCGGGCCCAAGCCTGTGTCGAACAGACAAACAGCTGCAGCTCAACCAAACCCTCCTGCCCCTCCTCCTCCTCCTTCTCGTCCCGGAGCGGGGGCCCCAGCCAGTAGCACGATTACCTGCCTACCAGCGGGGGTGGGACATGCGCGCACTAATCCGCCAATCCTCTGGAGGAAGGCGGGCCTCTTCCGGCGCTGCCACCAATGAGGACGAGCGACGGACTGGACAGGCGGGGCCCCGGGCCAGTACGGAGACGGAGACGTTGAAGATGGACGAGGTGAGGAGCCACTAAAGAGCGAGCTCTCTGAGACAGGGGGCGGTGCACTGATGACAGGCGGACACGCCAACCAATAGCGTCTCGACACCCTCATGACCCCGCCTTCTGACTCCTAAACATCTAATCAGGTGAGTGGCGGAGGCGGGTCAAAGGGAAGCTTTAGCCAGTACTGGGAAGATTCGGAACCGGAATGGCAGGCAAGGCGGGGTGGAAAGAAGCCTCGGGGAGGCTGCCGCTGACCTCCGCCCCTCCCCCGGAATTGGCGGGGGCTGACCCTAGCGCCCCGCCCTCTGTGACAAATTGGCGGCGTCCCGAGACACCTCTCACCTAAGGACTCGGAGCCTGGGAGTTTAGGTGGCACTCGCGTCGCCGCGGCTTCCTTTGTGTGGGGCCCCGGACGACGGGCATTGGGGGCGGGGGGGGCCGCGCCCGCGGCCTGAGGCGTCTTCTGGTGGGGTTGAGACGGAGGCAACGCCAAGAAGTGGCAGCTCGGGGAGACTTTAGCCCCCTCCATAATGATTTTTCATAGGCACAACTGATGTGTTCCGAGTCGTATGTAAATGTGATTAAAGTCTCTTTAGAAAACTGTGATGTGCAACAAAAAAGGGAAAAGGATGAGCTTACCGGGGAATTCGGTGTCAACCATATTGCTGCTCTTAAGTCCCTCCTAAGTCTCTGCAATTGTGGAACTCCCACCTTGTGTGTATATGTGCGCGCGCGCGCGTCTGCGCGTGTGCAGATGATTCAGGTTTGTGGGGCAAGTGAAGTAGGCTTCCGTTTCCCCAACAGTAAAATGAAGGCAACAATTACCTTTTCGCCCACGCCTGGCACTATCCCAACTGCATAACAGAGGCCCAAGTGGGGTGAGGTGGGTCGCCACGCAGAGTGATTAGGAAAACGGGAGCTCTGAAAGCAACTATCACATATACATATTCATCATTCAGTAAATACATAAGAGGAAAGAGATGAACTATGAAACTAGGAACTTTTGTTTTTAATGAATTACAAACTAAATTACAAATAATGTTAATAGCAAGAACACTTGAAGATGAGGTGGGAGAAGAGAGACAAAATCACAAAAAGAAAAAAATACTTTTTTTTTTCTTTAAACATTCGCATTACAAAAACCCCAAGGTGCACATGGCAACAAATCCACCCATTTCCACTTACTTAAAAAACTACTATAACCTGAATGAAATATAAATATAATTGTTCATCCTTCTTTTAAAGAAAAAAATTTCCCAATGCCCTCACTCAGTCACAGCCCTAAAAAGTGTCAGCATTCTCAAAATAATGTCTAAACCCTAACTTCCACTCCTATGGGGTGGCCTTCAGAGGAAGATGGGACCTGGTACATGAAGAACTAAGAATCTTAAAAGAGAAAAATGCAGACTTTTCCTTGCCTCATAAGGCCACGGTGAAGCACAATACCTGTCCTAGAGCTTCCCAGACACTTCTTACCCATAGGAGGGACAGACAGGGGGACTAGGGGCAACGGCAGAGACTGGAGTCTTGAGTCTCCTAGACTGTCAGGTGAGATGAAAACACTAAAACTGGGGTATAAACTGGTTGGTCTATTTTTTCAACCTAATTCTTTAAAACAGGCCCCCTCCCTACGTTTTTGTTTTGCTTGGTTTTCGAAAGTTCCAACTTCGGTTCTCTGCTATCAGTTGGCCTTACAAGCACGGTGGTCAAGGAAGGCTTAGGGTGTGTCATCCCAAACACAAAAAAATAATAATTTCAGGGTTTCAGAGATTGGGATGGCAAACCCTATGTGGGGGGAAGAGAAAGAGTCAGGTTTTTTTTGTTTTTTGTTTTTTTTTTTTTAAATACCAGCCCTCCTCATCAATGATGAAGAGGAGGGGGAGAGAGTGGTGGAGGGACTTAAGTGCATCTAATACTGAAGCTTCCTTTCATTTTCACCAATTTCTCCCCTCTACCCATTATATCCCGGAGTTGGCTGGCTAAGAGGGGGAGGTGAGTGTTAAGGCAGCCAGACAAGATCAGAGGGCAAATAGCCCAGGGCCAAGCCAACTCAGGCCCCTGCTGGAGAAGAAAGGGAGCCTAGGGGTGGGGCTGGGGGGGGGGGGAAGGACATCAGAGTCGAAGGTGGGGTACTGGCTTGGTCACATCGTGGAAGAAAGGGTGAGCCAGAGCTGCCTTTGCCGAAATCCGCTTGTTGGGGTCGTAGTGCAGCATTTGCTGGAGGGAGAGATGTATGCTGACTTCAGTGACGTAACAGTGGACTAAATGGGCAGCAGGTGTTCCAAGAATTCAGGAAAGCAGAATTCCTTTTACCCAAGGCAGAGTTCCCAATTCCCTCCTCCCTATATTTGAACAGGTGTGCCAACAGGGAGAGAGAAGCAGGGGCTAGGGAAATGCCAAGACCCGGAGTCCAGGGTCTCATCCTTCCTTCATCCTGGAAAAAAACCTGCACTGGGGGAGTAAATGAGAAGAAATGGGCACCCACTCCCAATTCTCACCGAAAGCAAGCTCCGTCCATCTTCATCCAAGGGAGGAACAACTTTGCTAAAATCTTGCCGGGCCCACTTGGGGAAACTCGGCTTATAATCAGGCATGGAAGTAACTCCTGGCCAAACCACTTCATCTGGGGTCCCCAGAGTCCGAAAGATCCGGAAAAGTTGGTCAATTTCAGAATCTCCAGGGAATAAGGCCCGTCGGGTCACCTGAAAATGGGGAAAGAGAAAAGGCCAAGACCCGCACTGACGTCAGTCAAAGCTGCTCCCTGTGCAATGGAGGTTCCCACAGGCAGTGGAAGGTCAGCAGGGCCCCATGACTCCCTCCCCAGGGCCTTTCATGGGGTCAGTCACACAGAGCTTGAGACAATGAAGTCCCTTCATCTGTCTCCTCGCCCCCTCCTTCCTTCCCCCAACCATGCCTTTGCAGATCCCCAAGGCTGGGTGGGGCTGGGAGGGGGTGAATGTCTGGGGTGCCACTGACATGTAGCAAAGGGATCCCAAGCCACTCACGGGGTGTGGGGTAGACACTGCGGTCATCCCCCCTCCTTGTGATGCAGCCACTTCTAGATAGGAGCACAGCGGGCAGAGACTGTGTCTTCCATTTCTTCTGTGTTCCCCACAGCACCTAGCATGGTGCTGGGTACACACTAGGTGCTTAACAAATATTTTTTGATGAATTGAGAGAGGAATATGGGCAATTGTAAGGTAATGTACTGGGGGATAAATGCACATTTTATATACAGGCTAATGGTCTCTAAGCCCCCAGTTACAACCCAGATAAAGGACCATAAAACAAATTGCTGATTTGAAGTGAAAACACAGCCCACTCCACTGTTATATTAAAGGGGATGAGAGCTCCCATAAAAGGCTGGACCTCAGGGATCCTTCATTCGGAAAAGCCAGAAGTTGAGGGGGACATAATTTAAGTCTGCAGTTTAAATAAAAGGTATGATAAATAAATAAATAAATAAATAAATAAATAAATAGATAGATAGATAGATAGATAGATAACATGAATACAGTTGATTTCACCATATTCCTGGGACCTTACCAGAAGGTCTACAAGCCAAATGAAGGAGGCAATGAATGGTAGGTACTCATTCTCCCAAATATATGCAGACTAAAGCTAAAACAGTTGCAGAAATGATTTAGCTCAATTCGGGGACAAGAGATGTGTATTGAATGCTAAGGCCATTTGAGGATATACTGACATTGTAGTTGACCTCAGGGATGATAGTCCTATCCTTTCCCCCGTACCCGCTTTGGTCCTACTCTAAGAGAAAGGATCCTAGATAATAGAAGGGCCATGAGTCTAGGCCAAGAAAAAGTTCTGTTGTTCTTGAATGTGGGGAGGAGAGAGCTGGGTGGAACTCGGGCTTGCCTCCATACCATCTCAGCAAAGATGCAGCCCAAGCTCCAGATATCTACCGCTGTGGAGTAGTACTTGCAGCCCAGAAGGATTTCAGGTGCTCGGTACCACAGGGTCACCACCTGGGAACAAGAGCAAGAAGGGGAGGGGTGGTGCATGGGGCACAGTGATTCCCACATGTCAGCTCCTCGGTGTTACTCTGCTAGTTCTCAGCCTGGTCACAAGCAGCTTCTCTCCCTCTATCTTTCTTTTCCCATCTTTCTGACTTCCCCTGCGTAAAGTGATTACACACAACTTCTTAGACCAGAGTTAGCCTCGCCTGTGGCTCCAAAGACCCTATTTTCTGAACCCACAACTTTCAACCTTCCTGGAAAACTCCTGAGAGAAGTGGTCATAATTTTAATGATATGCCATCCAGCTCTGCTGGCTTGGTACCTACTGAAGCCCAGCTAGCCCCGCAATATGAACTCAATGCATACTCTAAAACCTCCTGGGGTGCCAGAGATACTTTCATCTGGGAGAGAGAAACTGCTGGCCAGATAGGTTTAGTCATTTTGTAAATGTCCTTGTTAACACATTCAGAAAGTTCAGAGAAGTGCAGACAGGGTCTCACCTCATGGGTGTAAGTACGAACAGGGACTCCAAAGGCTCTGGCTAGTCCAAAGTCTGCTAGCTTGATGGCCCCCTCTGCGTTGATAAGCAGATTCTGAGGTTTGAGGTCTCGGTGCAGAACCCGATGAGAATGGCAGAAGGCTAGGCCCTGGAGCAGCTGGAACAGATAGCTCTGACGAAGGAGAGAGAGAGGACTTTGTTTCTCGACCACAGTGAGCTATTAGGCTCCACTCTGCCTGCAAAGCTGTACTAAAGCCTTTTACTGTATTAGATTATAATTGCATGTTTATAAGCTGTGTCTCCCATTGGACTGCCAGTCTAGTGAAGATAAGGACTGGGTCCTATTTAGTTTTGCATCTCTTTTCCATATTCTGTGCCTAGCACATTGAAGGTGTTCAGTAAATGAGCACCGAATAAATGTTTGTTGATAGATTGAAAATAGCTCAGGGAGCAGAGAACCCAGCCCTAAGACAGACAACAGAGACTCACTGGCTATTTCTCCTACCAAACTGGTGGAAGGGGTTCTTGGAGGAATCTACCAAGTACCAAGTACCCTCCAGTCTCGTTTATCTGAGTTTCATCTGACCTTCCACCTGAGCTACAAAGTTGACTCACTAGAGTTTAAACTTCTTTGATTCTCCTGCCCAGCCCAGGGGTTAATAAGCATAATGAGTAGTGAAAGAGCCACAAAAGAAA